TGTGCCGAAGCTCTTCAGTTTAATTAGATCCCATTTGTCAATTTTGGCTTTTGTTGCCATTGCTTTTGGTGTTTTAGCCATGAAGTCTTTGCCCATTCCTATATCCTGAATGGTACTGCCTAGATTTTCTTCTGGGGTTTTTATGGTTTTAGGGTTTATGTTTAAGTTTTTAATCCATCTTGAGTTAATTTTTATATAAGGTGTAAGGAAGGGGTCCAGTTTCGGTTTTCCACGTATGGCTAGCCAGTTTTCCCAACATCATTTATTAAATAGAGAATCCTTTCCCCATTGCTTGTTTTTGTCAGGTTTGTCAAAGATCAGATGGTTGTAGATGTGTGGCATTATTTCTGAGCTCTCTGTTCTGTTCCATTGGTCTATATATCTGTTTTGGTACCAGTACCATGCTGTTTTGGTTATTACTGTAGCCTTGTAGTATTGTTTGAAGTCAGGTGGCGTGATGCCTCCAGCTTTGTTCTCTTTGCTTAGGATCATCTTGGCTATACAGACTTTTATGGTTCCATATGAAATTTAGAGTAGTTTTTTCTAATTCTGTGAAGAAAGTCAATGGTAGCTTGATGGGGATAGCATGAGTCTACATATTACTTTGGGCACTATGACCATTTTCATGATATTGATTCTTCCCATCCATGAGCATGGAATGTTTTTCCATTTGTTTGTGTCCTATCTTATTTCCTTGAGCAGTGGTTTGTAGTTCTCCTTGAAGAGGTCCTTCACATCCCTTGTAAGTTGTATTCCTAGGTATTTTATTCTCTTTGTAGCAATTGTGAATTGGAGTTGACTCATGATTTGGCTCTCTGTTTGTCTATTATTGGTGTACAGGAATGCTTGCAAATTTGCACATTGATTTTGTATCCTGAGACTTTGCTGAAGTTGCTTCTCAGCTTAAGGAGATTTTGGGCTGAGATGATGGGGTTTTCTAAATATACAATCATGTCATCTGCAAACAGAGACAATTTGATTTCCTCTTTTCCTATTTGAATACCTTTATTTCTTTCTCTTGCCTGATTGCCCTGGTCAGAACTTCCAATACTATGTTGAATAGCAGTGGTGAGAGAGGGCATCCTAGTATTGTGCTGGTTTTCGAAGGGAATGCTTCCAGCTTTTGCCTATTCTGTATGATATTGGTTGTGGGTTTGTAATAAATAGCTCTTATTATTTTGAGATACGTTCCATCAGTACCTAGTTTATTGAGAGTTTTTAGCATGAAAGGGTGTTGGTTTTATCAAAGGCCTTTTCTGCCTCTATTGAGATAATCATGTGGTTTTTGTCATTGGTTCTATTTATGTGATGGATTATGTTTATTGATTTGTGTATGTTGAACCAGCCTTGCATCCCAGGGATGAAGCTGACTTGTTCATGGTCAATAAGCTTTCTGAAGTGCTGCTGGATTCGGTTTGGCAGTATTTTATTGAGGATTTTCCCATCAAATTTCATCAAGGATATTGACCTGAAATTTTCTTTTTTTTGTTGTTTCTCTGCCAGGTTTTGGTACTAGGATGATGCTAGCCTCATAAAATGAGTTAGGGAGGAGTTCCTCTTATTCTATTGTTTGGAATAGTTTCAGAAGGAATGATACCAGCTCCTCTTTGTGCCTCTGGTAGAATTAGGCTGTGAATCTGTCTGATCCTGGGTTTTTTTTGTTTTTTTTTTTTTGATTGATAGGCTGTTAATTACTGCCTCAATATCAGAACTTGTTATTGGTCTATTCATGTATTCAACTTCTTCCCGGTTTAGTCTTGGGAGGGTGTATGTGTCCAGGAATTTATCCATTTCTTCTAGAGTTTCCAGTTTATTTGCATAGAGTTTTTTTTTTTTTTTTTTTTTTTTTTTTTTGAGACGGAGTCTCGCTCTGTCGCCCAGGCTGGAGTGCAGTGGCGCGATCTTGGCTCACTGCAAGCTCCGCCTCCCGGGTTCACGCCATTCTCCTGCCTCAGCCTCCCGAGTAGCTGGGACTACAGGCGCCCACAACCGCGCCCGGCTAATTTTTTGTATTTTTAGTAGAGACGGGGTTTCACCGTGGTCTTGATCTCCTGACCTTGTGATCCGCCCGCCTCGGCCTCCCAAAGTGCTGGGATTACAGGCGTGAGCCACCGCGCCCGGCTCATAGAGTTTTTTATAGTATTCTCTGATTGTAATTTGTGTTTCTATGGGATCAGTGATGATATCCCCTTTATCATGTTTTATTGTGTCTATGTGATTCTTCTCTATTTTTTCATTAGTCTGGCTAGCGGTCTATCTATTTAGTTAACTTTTAAAAAAATAAAAACCTGCTCCTGAATTCATTAATTTTTTGGTGGGTTTTTCATTTCTCTATCTCCTTCAGTTCTGCTCAGATCTTAGTTATTTCTTGCCTTCTGCTGGCTTTTGACTTTGTTTGCTCTTGCTTCTCTAGTTATTTTAATTGTGATGTTAGGGTGTCAATTTTAAATCTTTCCTGCTTTCTCTTGTGGGCATTTAGTGCACTTAAGAATGTCTAATAGGCTGGGTGTGGTGTCTCATGCCTGTAACCCCAGCACTTTGGGAGGCCGAGGTGGGTGGATCACCTGAGGTCAGGAGTTCAAGACCAGCCTGGCCAACATGGTGAAACCTGTCTTTACTAAAAATACAAAAAATTAGCGAAGCGTGGTGACGAGTGCCTGTAATCTCAGCTACTTGGGAGGCTGAGGCAGGAGAATTGCTTGAACCTGGGAGGTGGAGGTTGCAGTGAGCAGAGATCGTGCCATTGCACTCCAGCCTGGGTGACAAGACCAAGACTCCATCTCAAAAAAAAAAATAAATGTCTAATAGAGTTCTACAGTTTATTATATACTACCTTTTAAATAAAACAAGAAAACAATTGTTTGTGGATGACAAATATTTTAGGGCAGCCACAGTTAAAAACACGATTGACAAAAAAAATCTGGTTACCTTTGTGGCATACATGATTTTATGTAACAATTATAATTATTATAACATACACTAAGTCATATTAGAATTACAGGAGTTTCCCATAATTTTGGAACATAAACCAATAACATTTATACAAATATAGCCCAAAGAAAACCAAACACCATTTCCTATTTGACAATGCTTCCTGTATGATTTTTATACCAAATAAGCCAAATGTTACTGTTGCATTAGTTCATTATTGATGTCAAATCCAATTTTAAATAAAACCTTATAGATAAATGTATTTACCTTTAATCAGTTTGAACATAAGGTAAGATTTTTATAAGGCTTTTACAACCCTTTACAAATTTGTGTTAAAGAGCAGATTACACACAGGTTTTTGCTTTAAGAAAAACCTGTTTCATTTTTATTCCAATGTTCAGTTCACAGAAAAACTGAATACCCCTTTAACTTTAGCCAATATTCTGTGTTTACACACAGAATTTCTTTTACAATTTTTTTTTTCACAAACCTTCCACATCTTGCTTAAACCTTTAGCTTTATCCTAACTTAAAACAATCCTTTAGCCCTTTAGGCAAAAAACCTCCCCACATTTCCATGCCTTTTTATAATCTTTAACCAAAAACACATTTTACTTTTCTTACACACTTTGAGTGTATAACTATTTGGTTTTTTGTAGTCTTAAGCACATGTTACACTGTTAACTTTTAGCAACTTTCGGTAGAAACCTTGGTAAGTTTGGGATTTTAATTATATATTAGGTGTGGAGCCTAGGACCCAGACAGAAGTGCAGATAAGGTTTGACTCTTTTCAGCATCTACCTCCATGTGTTCCAGGCCTTACCTAGCTGTAAAGAGAGCAAGTTGTACAGTTAAGAGTCATAGTGGCATTTTTTTTTTATTTCTCAATTACATATATTTAGTTTTCATTTCTACAGAGAGGTCAACAAAGTTTTGTGAACTAAATTGTGTAAGTTTGTTTTTTTACGAAAGGACTTCACAGAGAACAAGACAAAGAGTAAGAAACACAACAGCAAATTTCCAAAAAATTCAAGTAGAATCAAACTTTGACTACAGATTTGGTCAAATTCGTGCTAAACAGCCTCTTTAACTACATTATTATCCAACTGACTTATCTAATTTGCTTTTTAGTAGTCAAATACATTGTTTTAAATCTTAATTATTTTTTATTATAAAATACATGTTTAGTGTAACAAAGTCAAATAATCTCTTAGGAAGATAAAGTAAAATAAGGGGCCAGGCATGGTGGCTCATGCCTGTGATCCCAGCACTCTGGGCGGCCAAGGTGGGTGGATAACCTGAGGCCAGGAGTTCGAGACCAGCCTAGCCAACATGGTGAAACCCCATCTCTACTAAAAATACAAAAATTAGCCAGGCGTGGTGGCGCACGCCCCCAGTTCATGCTACTTGGGAGGCTGAGACGTGAGAATCACCCGAACCCGGGAGGTGGAGGTTAGAGTGAGCTGAGATTTGTGCCACTGAACTCCAGCCTGGGCGACAGAGCAAGACACTGTCTCAAAAAAAATAAATAAATAAGAAGAAGGACGTCCACCACACTGTACCTACCAAAATGCCCATTCCCCAAAGACGACTGCTGTTAAACGATTAGGTACCTTTCCTGATTTTTTTCTTTTTTTTTTTTTTTTTTTTTTTTTTTTGTCTAAGCACATTTAAAAACCAAGACTTTTGGTTTTAAGTGATAGCTCTGAATCTCCTTTAGGCATGAAGTACAGGAAATTATATTTCTGCAGCAAATTCAGGCTCTGCAACATCAAGTGTGGATTCACTGGAAATTATTTGAAGTAACACTTAGAGATCATAATAGCCAAAAAATGTTGAGAAATGAGAAAGGGTAGGTTTCTTTATTTAAATTTTTTTTTTTTTTTTTTTTTTTTTTTTAGAGACAGGTTCTTTGCTCCATCACCCAGGATGGAGTACAGTGACGGGATCGCAGCTCACTGAAGGCTCAAACTCCTGGGCTCAAGCAATCCTGCCTCAGCCTCCCAAGTAGCTAGGACTACAGGCGTGCACCACCATGCCCAGCTAATTTTTTAATATTCTGTAGAGATGGGGTCTCACCATGTGCCCTGGCTGGCCTCAAACATCTGGCCTCAAGCAATACACCCACCTCAGCCTCCCATAGTGCTGGGATTACAGGCATGACCCACCACACCCAGCCAAATAAAAGGCTTTTTGAGGAAGTATGATCAGAAGAAAATGGAATGTGCTTGAAAGAGCTCTAAAGGGCCACGGACGTTCTGTTCTCTATAGAACAGAACATGAAGTAGGGACAGGTTCTTTTTAAAAGCACTTGACTTTGGAACAAAACCCAAATTGTCCTCATGATTTCATCCTTTGACATTATGTTCATTTTGGTTATCTTAGTCTTTTCTCAGACTTCACAGATAATTATCTAAAAGCCCCTGGCTAAGTTAATGCTTATGACTGTAGTCACAAATGGATGGCTTGGATTTTATTTGTCTTGCAGTATTTGTAAATTTTTTGATGTATACTCTTACTGCCAACTTACATACTCATATGTATATGGATTGTATGTGTATGTGTGTGTATGTATATATATATAGTCCCCAAATTTAAAAACCATAATTTGGACCTTTTTTTCCACACAAAAAATCAGAAAATTGGTAACACTCTGCCCAATTTCCACATAGCAACAATTTAGACAGGCCATGAGCTCTCCATATGGCCCTGATCCCACCACGCTTGTCTCAAACAAATCTAGTCAGTCGTACGTATATTATGTATGTATATTGTTGTGCTTCTCCTTCCTTCCTGACTCTGGAAGACTCCTGTCTCAGTCTCTCTCAACATGTCTGAAGGACTCAGGGGCAAGTGTCAGAGGTGTAGGCCCTAGTCTGGGTTTAATGTCCGGGGCCAGCTTGAAACAGCAGCTAGTATTTTGAGCTCTAAGCTAACACTCTGGACTTTCAGTCATGTTTTCTTTCCCCAGTGAAATAGAAAAGTTTGATTTCAAAGAGGCAAAGTGTGCGACACCTGCAACATACATAAAACCTGTTTCGTTTTACTCAGGAGTAGGAATCAGGAAACCTGGGTGCTATTTTTGACTTACTTTGGTTAGAGAAGGGCAGTTAAGCTGTCCTTACGTTTCTTACCAAATGAGGAAAATACTGTGGTAGCTCACAGCAATTTGGGGAGTTTTAGAGTCTATGGAAAATGGAAACGCTATTTGTAACTTAGATTGAACATTGAAACTTGTGTTTGTTTTTCAGGCACTTTTGGAACTTAACTGGATGTTTCATGTGTCTAGTAATCGGCTGATAGTAGATATTATTCTACCCCTATATTGGGATGCGAAATAGCAAAAGTCATACAGTCTATGCTGGTACTTTCAGCAAAGACTTTACCACAGTAATCAGTTCATGAAACTCTGTGTTCTGAAAGTGGCCACGGTCAGTGAATTTGTGCAATTTGGTTTCCAACCTATCGGCCACTTCTTGTTGTTCCTTCCAGGGAAGGAATGGGTCGTCAGTGGAGCCAAACTGCACAACGTAAGGGCAGTTGGCCTTGATCTTCTCCCACTGCCAGGGGCGGGTGAAGTATCCACTTGCACGCTCATTTTCATCCCCCAAGTCTGATGTGTACGCAGACACTAATACAATAGCATATACTCGATGTGTTTCTGCATACCTCATGGCTGCGATGGCCCTAGAACCGTGGCCGATAATGATGGTCTTCTCATCACAGTGCAGCTCTGTCTCCATGAAGGGCAACCAGATGCTCTCTCATGCTGTAACTGGGTCGGGCATGTTTTTAGCCAAACACTGGAAACCAGGTATCTTCTCCAGCTCCTTTTTCACCCAGCCATACCAGCCGTGGGTGGTCACATCCCCGCCTCCATTCCCGGGAACAATCACTGCCTTGCTAGGAGAAGCCATGAGTGCAGCGAGGCCAGAGTCCCCTCAGCACGGGTCCAGCAGCCATACTGGCATTTTATGAAGCATTAAGGAAGCCTACTCACCTTTAAATTGTGCAATATTTCTTGTATAAATTACTTTTTATAAATTCTTTTATGACATAGACCATTTGCAACATGCTAAGACTTTTTGACTTGTCCTAAACATTTATTTTTTTTTTTAACAACAAGTTATTTTACTTTAGGCCAAGGGTGTACCATGAGAGATCCTTTCTTATATAAAATATATTTTCTTTATAACCTTCTTTGCATAGTTAGGGGGCATGGCTAATTCAACATGCCCCCAGGTTTTATTTGCAATTTAATGCTCTGAAATAGGTAAATTGAATAATTTTTAAAAGTCAAAGATGCAGTTTATAACCTTAAAGCATTTAGCAAACCTAATATCTCACCTGCATAATTTAGACCAAATATTTACATTTTTGAAGATATTTTTATTTTGCCAATAATTTTTAAGACTGTCTTTTTCCAAAGTATTACTTAAGTCACATGAACTAAATAAAAGGCATTAATCTTTTTACTTTTCTGACAAAATATTTTATTTAAGCACTTATTATTATTAAACCAATTTATCAAAGCTCTCTTGTATATAAACATTACATAGACAACACATATAAATATGCAGACAGACAGAAAGTAAAGGATTCATTCCCTAAGTCAGGAATTAGGCCCTAAACCTGGGTTGCCATTGTGAAAGGAGAAAGCATAGCCAAGTGATTACAAAGTCAAGCTCCCAAGGACATGACTGACCAGTTTCCTGGACCATCTTGAAAAGTGGGTTTATGGGATCCTAGTCACACATTCTATTCTAAAGTACCCCTCATTATGACAGAACAATATAGAAAAACACATAAAGCACACCAGATTCACTGGAGCTTAAGATTAGCCTCAAAAATCCTTTTTTCCATTAAGCAAAAACTTTACAGAGGAGATAAACAGTGATTTTGCCATTCATTCAACCAATTTGCACAGAGAGAGGGGTAGAGTGGGGCCAGAAATCTGACTTTGGGCAAGTGGTGGGGTACCCAGGTTAAAAATGGGATTGGGTTATAAACCCAATCTGGTAAGAAATTCTTACCCTTTTGCCAGCATGACAGGCTTCTGGATTTCCTTTCCCTGAGTGGCCCTAGTGACCTGGCTTGCTGTACCATAGCCCTGGGGGCCAAGCTGCAACACAAAGTGAAATTATCTTTTTCCATTCTGGCCAGAGCAAAATACTTGTGAAAAGACATAGACATTAGCCACTCTGCTTAGCACCCAATATTAATCTGGCAAAGCTCAAACTTGCCCCCAGTTGGGCCCCATAATTGTTAAACTAATCTCTGACCAGGAGTTTCAACTTGTGCACTCTGGACAAGATGATCACCCTGAGTAAAAGAAAAGATAGGAAAGAGAAAGGAGAGAAAGAAACGTATAGCCTGTGGCAGGGTGGGGAAGGTGAAGAGCTCAGGGAAGCCAGAGAAAGACACACCCATTGCAGCAACACCAAATCAAAAGTTTAGGGAGCTCCTTGTTGGTCATGAAGGGATTATTTCCAACAGTCCCATCAGCTCTCAAGTTTCCCCTTTTAGTGAGGAAAAAGTTCCCCATGTCCCACCATCCTGTACATGCCTAATCCTATTGCCCACAGCTGTTAGCAAGGAGTGCAAGGCAGATTATTCCAAAGAGAATAGCAGTTAACATCCCTTAGTGCCAAACCCGTTCTTAGCCAAAAGAAAATGTACTGAGAGGGACCTCTATCCCCACTGAATCTTACGAGGGACTCTAGCCCTTCTAAGTTAGGCCTCTAACCCAAGGTCAGTCAAGCATGCTTGCTTTTTATTAAGAGGGGTCTCTAACCCACTCTGTCTTAGGAGAGACTCTAACTCCCCTAAGTTGGGTTTATAACCCAATCCCATTTTTTACCTGGGTACCCCACCACTTACCCAAAGTCAGCCAATTAGTGCTTTGGGTTGGGGAGTTTCTTCAGTACTGTCCTTTCAGGGTTCCCTAGAAAGATATTACTAGACCCCACCACTTACACAAAATTAGTCTTTGAGTTGGGGATTTTCACACTATAATCCCTTTATAGCCACTGAAAAGATGTTACAGGAAAGGGGCCCAGATCCAGACCCCAAGAGAGGGTTCTTGGATCTTGTGTAAAAAAAAAATTCAGTGTGAGCTTATAGAGTAAAGTAAAAGCAAGTTTATTAAGAAACTAAAGGAATAAAAGAATGGCTACTCCACAGACAGAGAAGCCCTGAGGGCTGCCAGTTGCCCATTTTTATGGTTATTTCTTGATGATATGCTAAACAAGGAGTGGATTATTCATTCCTCCCCTTTTTAGAACCTATAGGGTAACTTCCTGTTGTTGCCATAGCATTTGCAAACTGTCATGGTGCTAATGGTAGTGTAGCAATGAGGGCGACCAGAGGTCACTTCTTGTAGACATCTTGGTTTTGGTGGTTTTTAGCTGGCTTCTTTATTGCAACCTGTTTTATCATAGAGGTCTTTATGACGTGTATCTGTGCTGATCTCCTATTTCATCCTATGACTTAGAATGCCTTAACCATCTGGGAATGCAGCCCAGTAGGTCTCAGTATCATTTAACCCAACCCTTATCCAAGATGGAGTTGCTCTGGTTCACATGCCTCTAATACCCCTAAACCTAAAATATATCATGTGCCTAAGATAACAGCATTACTTCTTTACCACACCCCAATGCAAGTTTCCAAAATATAATCCAGCACTAACTATGAACTTGGTTGAAAACATTTTTTCTGAGGCTCTCTGAGTATTGGCACTTTGAGTCTGTTATACTATAGAGGAAAATTACCAATTCAGGAAGTAAAATTTTTTGTGAAACCCTCTCTAAAAAACCTTCCCTCTCATCTGAAGAATTAGAAAATATATCAAAACTAAAACCAGTATGCCCTTCATTAGTATAATGGGGCTTTTCTCCTGTTTACAGAAGTCCAAACATCAGGACAATGCTATTTTTTTCAAGGCATAATTGCAAACTCAAGTCTCAAATTTATGCCTTTTTACACCCTTGGCTATGATTAGAACATGCTGTGAACAATGAGTCACAGTGACCTGATAAATGGTTACTTTGCCTGAACAACAGTGATTTCTACAACCATGTTTAAAATGAAGAGGCAAACTTGCTTTTCCAGCTGTTTAAAAATCAATTACAAGACATTATTAAAATAGCTAAAAGCATTTTATCATCTATAATTTGAAAAAGAATGTCCTAAAATGCCATATATACTTAAGTAAAGTTTCAGGCCTTATTCTCTACTGAGTAAACCATACTGGGTCTCTGCTATTTTTTGAATGGTGTCATTGTAATGCCTCCTGAACCTGTATGTTGGAGATTAAGATTGCCCTACCCAAAGCAGTTATTTCACTCCAAGCTTTATATAGTTAAGAATTATTTTATTTACTCTAAGTTTCTAGCTGATTATGACTTTTTCACTAGTAAACTATTCCATTCACATGTACAATATAAATAAAGATACAATTTTATTATTCCTTTGAGTTTCTCTATGGATAGTTTCCATCATTTTCCATTCACAATTAGAAGGAAAAAAAAGAGTGATTTATCATGTGGCATAACATTGTTGGTCAGCTGAAATTACCAAGTACATATTCCTAGTCCTGAGCACATGACTTAGTTTTATTAATTTTCCCTTAGCTTTTCTCTTCTAACAGAGATTACCAGCTTTTGCAATGTTTTAGTCGAGGATCATTGGTAATTAAATATGATTATTAAGTTCACTCCATTTTCCCTCAAATGTTATCTCACACACTTGGTGCAGCTAAAATATGGTTTCTGAAACAGTTCACATTCTATAAAAAACATTTAAGTTATTAAAATTTTGGCTCAGATAAGAAAATTTCATGAGATCACATTTCAAACTGTTCTAAATATTCTAAATGAAAATACCCTATACGAAAAAGTAAATAATACCTTTCCGAAATAAATCACATCTGTATTAATCTGTTTTCACATTGCTTTAAAGAACTACCTAAGACTGAGTAGTTTATGAAAAAGGGGTGTAATTGACTCGCAGTTCCACAGGCTTAACAAGAAGCATGACTGGGAGGCATCAGGAAACTTACAATCATGGTGGAAGAGAAAGGGAAGAAAGGACCTCCTTCACATAGCAGCAGAAAAGAAAGACTGAAGGGGAAAGTGCCACACACTTTCAAACAACCAGATGTCATGAGAGCTCACTCAATATCATGAGAACAGCAAGGGGGATGTCACCTCCAAGATTTAATCACCTCCTACCCAGCCCCTCCCCTGACATAAGGGAATTACAACTTGACCTGAGATTTGAATGGGGATACAGAGTCAAACCATATCATTCGGCCTCTGGCCCTACCCAAATCTCATGTCCTTTTCACATTTCAAAACCAATCATGCCTTCCCAACAGCCCTCAAAGTCTTAATTCATTCCAGCATTAACCCAAAAATCCAAGTCCAAAGTCTCATCTGAGACAAGGCAAGTACCTCCCACCTACAAGCCTGTAAAATCAAAAACAATCCAGTTAGTTCCAAGACACAATGGAGGCACCAGCATTGGGTAAATGCTTTTATTGCAAATGGGAGAAATTGACCAAAACCAAGGGGCTACAGGTCCCATGCAAGTCTGAAACCCAGGAGGGCAGTCATTAAATCTTAAAGCTCTAAAATAATCCCTTTGACTCCATGTCTCACATTCATGGCATGCTGATACAAGGAGTAGGCTCCCAAGACCTTGGGAAGCTCCACCCCTATGGCTCTGTATGGTACAGACCTCACAGCTCCTTTCATGGATTGGCATTGAGTGCCTGCAGCTTTTACAGGTGCACAGTGAAAGCTGTTGGTGGATCTACAATTCTGCGGTCTGGAAGATAGTGGCCTTTTTCTCACAGATCTACTAGGCAGTGCTCCAATGGGGACTCTGTATGGGGGCTCCAACCTCACATTTCTCCCTCTGCACTGCCCTAGTA